GTGGGGCAGTGACATCGTGCAGTGAAGTTGATGCGCAGTGACTCACGACGTGATTCGCAGTTTATCTAAAGACCGTGGGGCAGTGACATCGTGCAGTGAAGTTGATGCGCAGTGACTCACGACGTAACTTAAGATAGTGGGGCAGTGACGTACAGCGAAGATAATGCGCAGTGACTCACGACGTAACTTAAGATAGTGGGGCAGTGACGTACAGCGAAGATAATGCGCAGTGACTCACGACGTTACTCAAGATAGCGGGGCAGTGACATGGCACCATGAAAATAATGTGAAGTGATTCACAGTTTATCTAAAGCCAGTGGAGCAGTGACATTGCACCATTGCATTGAAAATAATGTACAGTGATTCATTGTGTAACGTAAGACAGTGGGGCAGTGACATCGTACAGTGAAGGTAATGCGCAGTGACTCATGGCGTAACTTGAGATAGTGGGGCAGTGACATCGTACAGTGAAGATAATGTGCAGTGACTCACTGCGTAACTTAAGATAGTGGGGCAGTGACATCGTACAGTGAAGATAATGTGCAGTGACTCATGGCGTAACTTAAGATAGTGGGGCAGTGACATCGTACAGTGAAGATAATGTGCAGTGACAATGACATCGTACAGTGAAGATAATGTGCCATGACTCACGACGTAACTTAAGATAGTGGGGCAGTGACATCGTACAGTGAAGATAATGTGCAGTGACATCGTACAGTGAAGATGATGTGCAGTGACATCGTACAGTGAAGATGATGTGCAGTGACTCTTTGCAGTGACTCACGGCGTAACTTAAGATAGTGAGGCAGTGACATCGTACAGTGAAGATAATGCTCAGTGACTCACGGCGTAACTTAAGATAGTGGGGCAGTGACATCGTACAGTGAAGATAATGTGCAGTGACATCGTACAGTGAAGATAATGTGCAGTGACTCACGGTGCGCTTGAAGAGGCCAGTAGTTGCAAGGGAGGTTGGCGCATCGCCCTTGACGATCGTGTCCAATTTCAGAGCCTGACCGAACCTGACAAATTCCACCTGAACGGACGAAAAAGCGTCCAGAAAAACAGGCTGTAAGTCCTCGAATTTATCGTGGCGGACGCCCATAAATGACACAAAATAAGATAAATTCTCTAATATCACAGTAATATGTCGTTAGAAATGATTGATATTGTTTAAGTGATTGCGGTCTTAGTAGTTGTATTTTATAGTGCCGGGCTAAAGTTCAAATTTTCCCGATAGCTGCATTCTAGATCTATTATCATATGTAAATTCAGCATTCTAATTGATGCAGAATTTTTTTGGGGGGAAATCCCATCAAAAATCCCTGTATGTGTGATACAAAAGAATAAGTTGACCATAATTAATTGATGCTTAAACCCTGTCAACCGATGTTAGAAATCCTATTGAAACCATCATTCTTCATCTTGTTCCCATATTGTGAAGGAAGCAAATATCAAAATACAGGCGATTACTGAAGAATCTGCTATTCATGTGAAAAATATCTTGTACTAAATATAAATAATATATATAATCTGTCTCTTATACACATCTAGATGTGTATAAGAGACAGATCTGATCCATTCGTTTTCTGGGTGTTTCTACTCATATGATTGCATAGTTTTGTACGTTCAAAATGCATAACAAAGGAATTGAATTAAAACAAACAAAATAAAAAATATAACTCAGTACTCACTGCAGTAAGTGACAGAGAGCGCATTTTCTCGTCGACGAAAACTTGAGGTCACGGACAGACGGACAGATAGACGGACGGACGGACATGGTGAGCACAATAGTGCATTTTTTCCATAAATGAGAAAATGCGCTAAAAATAAATAAAATTTGCACTGTGTACAATCCTGTCTCTTATACACATCTAGNCAGTTACAGGGTGAGCATCAACAGAACTAGGGCAAGAGGTGAACAAAAACAGAAATAGAGCAACCGGTGAACATCAACAGAACCAAAGAAACCGGTGAACATCAACAGAACTAGGGCAAGAGGTGAACAAAAACAGAAATAGAGCAACCGGTGAACATCAACAGAACTAGGGCAAGAGGTGAACAAAAACAGAAATAGAGCAAGAGGTGAACAAAAACAGAAACAGAGCAACCGGTGAACATCAACAGAACCGTGGCAAGTGGTGAACAGAAACAGCAAGAGCTACGAATAAACAGAAAAGTAAACCTCGCAGCAAGCGATCAGCAATAAACAGTGGCACACAAGACAGCTCAGATGTGTATAAGAGACCTAACATGAGAACAGCGTGAGAACAGGGGTAACAGATGAAGAAGAGGGGCAACAAATGAACAGACGAACACGAAAGCTTAGTGAATTAATCAATATTTTTGAAATGTGAACAGGAAGAACATAGATAGAATTCGACATTATGAACAGAAGCCAACTCGCTATAAAGCAAGGTGAGCATGTAAGAATGATGTTATGCTAACAAATTCTTGTAACTGAGAATAATGTGTTACGAATGCAAGTGATAGACAATCCCTATCAAATAATTATGTGGGTAATTATACAGATTAATGTGGGTTAATATACGGATTAATGCCTAGTTCCGAAAAACTAAGCAGGCAAGCTTTTAATTAATAAAATCAATTCTTTTTTTTTTGTTGGAATGGTGAGTGTGGGAGGCCTTTAAAAAAAACTTTTAAGGTAAATTCATGTTTAAGCAGATCGGCGCACGCTTAGCGATTGATGAATGATGCTGTTGCACTGCCTTAGCTGCCACTGAGAAAATTTAGCGTGTGGCAACTGCTGAGAATTCAACAGAATTGGCCAGTAAAGTCTTCTTTAAAAGTCAGTAATATCTTCAGTGACGAAAACAGAAATTGACAGTGAACAGAAAACAGAAAAACAGTGAACTGACTTTGTCTCATCAATCGATAAAGCTCTGTTTCTATTTATATTGAGAAGGAAATAATGCGCAGAATAGCAAGCTCAGTATAGGTAAAAATTCGGAGGTATGAAGAACAGGGGCAACAAATGAACAGACGAACACGAAAGCTTAGTGAATTAATCAATATTTTTGAAATGTGAACAGGAAGAACATAGATAGAATTCGACATTATGAACAGAAGCCAACTCGCTATAAAGCAAGGTGAGCATGTAAGAATGATGTTATGCTAACAAATTCTTGTAACTGAGAATAATGTGTTACGAATGCAAGTGAAAGACAATCCCTATCAAATGGTAATGTGGGTAATGATACAGATTAATGCGAGTTAATACGGATTAACGTAGAGCTCCGAAAAACTAAGCATGCAAGCTTTTAAGATAAATTCATTTTTAAGCAGATCAGAGCATATTTAGCAATTAATTGATGAATGATGCTGTTTCACTGCCTTAGCTGCCACTGAAAAAAGTTTGCGTGTGGCAACTGCTGAGAATTTCATAGAATTGGCCAGTAAAGTCTTCGTTAAAAGTCAGTAATATCTTCAGTGCCGAAAAAACGGACATTGTCTCATCAATCGATAAAGCTTTGTTTCTATTTATACTGAGAAGGGAAAACTGCGCAGAATAGCAAGCTCAGTATAGGTAAAAATTCGGAGGTCATGCTGGAGCATCCCTCCACATATAAGTCGGAATACTAGTCATAAGTAATTGCTAGGTGAAAAAATATAACTCAGTACTCACTGCAGTGAGTGACAGAGAGCGCATTTTCTCGTCGATGAAAACGTGAAGTTACGGACGGACAGACGGACAGAAGGACTTGGCGAGCACAATGGTGCATTTTTTTCAAAAATGAGAAAATGCGCTAAAAAGTATTTACTGGTTGTCAATTATTTTTTATTATTAATTCAACGTGTCAGCCTTCGTCTGATAGGACGAGGTGTCAGAAATAGGTATGCAATGCGTGAGATTATCTACAGTGCATACTAAACACAACATGCTCCCATATATGCCGCTGGTATTAGTTGCTGTGCCCACACCAGATACCAGTTTGATGAATAAGAATTTCCCATTAATATTTAATTACATAGTTACAAACTTCGGCTCTCAATGTAAAGACAAATAAAAAAAGCTCATTCTGAAATTTAAAAAGAAGTCAGGACATAAAAGTGCGTTTTTGAAAAGGTAATTCTTCATTTATAAAAGATCATGTATGCTTCTTCGATGAATATAGGACGGGTTATCAGCTGCCAACGTTCGACCATCGGTACATTTTAGAAAATTTTTCAAAAGGTGATTTCTTCGGACACTACTGACTACTGAGCATCTGGGTTTGCGGTGACGAAACCATCATGTGTTATTTATAGACCGGTAAATCCTTCTCGATTATGATTTCCAGAGAAAAACAATCCGCAGACATCGGTGTTTCTGTGCACATCGCAATAAAAAAAAATTTCGTTTACTTGGGCCGCAAACATGAGGGAGTGGACTGAGCTCCATGCGGTACACAACAACAAGAAGTTCGACTATATTTTTTTCTATGGGACTCGATTCATCGAGTACGGGGAAACAGACATGTTTTTAAAACAGATAGGAACATTGAGGCCCATTTCGTCCCGAAAAACTCATAAAAATGCTATAACGCGTCAGAGCATGGAAAAAGATTTTACAACGTGTGATAGAACTTTATGTGTTAATATGCATCTTTGCAAAAGGAATCCATCGTAATTTCGATGGTGTCAGCGAAAAGTGCCGAGATTACAGCCTTGATTTATAAACTGTTAAATATTTACTTTTTTCGGGCGGAGTATCCAAGGAATTCATTTCGGAACAGCAATAATAATAATAAAATATATGTATTTTTTAAATTCATAAAAAGAAACAATATAAAATTAAAATTCTCGCATCTGAGAGGGAAAATTTTCTTAATTTATGATTGTGGAGTACGTGAAAGTATATAGTTCTGCAAAACGCTATTTTTCGAGTTCGTGACACGCGATTTCAATAATTTATTTACTTTATTCCTGAAGCAGAGAAAATATTTTTCTAGTTTGTGATACACGATTTCAATAATTTATTTACTTCATTGACAATTACCTCAATTTTTACCTGTAGGAAAGAATGATAATTTTAAATGCTAATAAACCAGCAGAATACTCACATTTGACCAGAAGAAATTCCCTGAACTCGTCGTGGTTGTGGAAGACGCACGAGCCTGAGAGAGAGGGACCGAAGAGCGGTACTGTCTCCTCGGAGTAGACGTGTAAGCGGTACGAAGCTTCGTCCGAGTTATAAGTGACCAGGGCAAATATGTCTGATTACAATCTTAAGGAAAACATGTCAAAAACATTGCAAATGTCAAAAAACATTCGCATTAGGTGAGTTATAAGTGACCAGGGCAAATATGTCTGATTACAATCTTAAGGAAAACGTGTAAAAAAATCATAACTCAGTACTCACTGCAGTGAGTGACAGAGAGCGCATTTTCTCGTCGACGAAAACGTGAAGTCACGGACGGACGGACGGACGGACGGACGGACGGACAGACAGACAGACAGACAGACAGACGGACTGACGGACATGACGAGCACAATAGCGCCTTTTTTCCATAAATGAGAAAATGCGCTAAAAACGTTCCGAATGTAAAAAAAACATTCGCATTAGGTGAATCCAGGGTAGTATCAAGAGTAAATTATTAAAAATTAATTACGCTTGATATGTATTTAACATTAATATTTGATGGAGTGTGGAGATCAGGTGTTGAAACTAAGCTCATACTGTATTCTAATAATAAGATATATAAGTAACGAATTTAAATCAATATTTTTATTCAGTGGCATATAATGATTTGAGATTGAACAAATGATTTAGATGTTCCGTGGTCAGACAGCATGGCTCCTTCAATATAGCAAACATATTCCTTCCTACGTTACTAGGAAAGACTACTACATATTCCTAGACTTAGGTTATTTATACAGATGAGATCTTATGTTTTCTGCGGAGGAGCATATATTAAAGCAGCAACAAGAAGAGACGCTCGGTCTATTTGAAGAATTAGTAAAGAAGGGACCAATAACTGATACGTTAATTAAAATAGAAGTTTTCAGCCACTATACGTAATCCAGGCTTTCTTGTAATGAAAACGTCTATAAAATAAACGTGGTTAGGTTTTTAATATGGATGTGTACAAAGTAGGCGAGTTTCATTGTCGGTTCCGCATGGTACTAGTATACTCCGGCTAATGGAAACTAAATTTTGGTGGAAATAATGTTTATAATTTGCTTAAGAAATACATGGATTCTAGAAATATGAGGAAATAAGGTTTATAATTTGCTCATGATATATTCATAAAATATAAAATGATATGCGTCACAAGGAAGAGACAATATATTTAAGTGTTCCTATGCGGAACGTGAATCCTTGATTGTGAAACAAGTCTCTAGAACTAAATTTCAGGTTTCTTCGGCGCCTCACTCGCTATAATAACACCCGGACTGCCTGCCTGGAAAAGATGCGAAGAGATTGTTTAGGGCAGAAGCGTTGTTAACGGTCATGATATGTCCCGCAAACAGACGTATTATTTACAGACGTATTATTTACGGAAGTATCATTTACGGACGTATCATTTACAGACGTATAATTTACGGACGTATTATTTATAGACGTATAATTTACTGACGTAATATTTACGACGGAAACGTTGGACTGCCTGTAGAAATGGTGGCTTTTAGCGGAGGCCTGTGAAGGCAGCATCAGGTTTACGGCGGCCATCGAGACCTTGTCTCCAGGCTATACAGTGACATGTAATACGCTATACAGTACTATACAGGCTACACAATACTATACGCTGTGAAAAGCACAACGCAGTATGTGCTTCATACTGCAAATAATATGAAACATCAGCTGGGATATTGAGAGAGCCTGCGGTGGTTACGCGTATCATGTGATGAAGCTGTTTGTGATGATGTGATGCGAGCTTAGATTACATCATTTTTATTTTGGCTTCGACGTTTTTCTTTTTCTATGCAGCATGCTACGAATAATAAATGCATTTGGTGATAAAGAGAGATTTATATCAAGAAAGTTTACTATCCTAGAAAAAAGTATCTATGGAGTGAAGCAATTGAGCTAAATAAATAATATTGTTAATGTAAGAATAGTTTTGTATCGTACTACTCTAGCACCGCTCAGGCAAAGAAGATCTGAGAAGCCTGCAGCGCTAATTTTAACGTAATTGAGAAGAATGAAAAGATTTACCATTTTATAAACATCTTTCCAAGGAAGCTTTCATATTTCTCAAAATCAATCAAGATAATTTCATAAATTGCAATACACAAGAGTTCGAGCGGCGTACAAAGGGCTCCAGTTGGCAAAATGGAATTTTATATCGGCGTCAGCCTGCGGCGCAAAGCTATTAGCGCGAGTGAGATGAACATCAACAGGAAAAACGGAAGTTCTTGACAAAGTGTGGAAGAGATTTCATGCAGTGGTAGCGACTGGCGATCAAAACCTTTGCTGATATTCCACTGAAAGATACTCCGGGCGTGAGCCACTTAGCTGATTAGTTCGCTGGCTGAGAGTGCGGGGTTAGCGAGTCGCTGTATCATGTCTNGAATAATGAGTGATAAGGCTGAATAATGAGTGATAAGGCAGAATAATGAGTGATGAGTATGAATGAGAGGAGAGGGGGCAGAGTGCGACGATGAATGATGGGTGCTAATTAAGACGATGAATATTCGAAGTGATGTGAATGATTTGGCGAGAGAGTGTGGTAGATGATGAGATGATGGCTTATGGAAGACAATGATAACACGAGAACATGACGGAGGTGAAATAATAGTCTAGTACGGTAATTAAAAATGTTCTTAACATGTTTCTGGCACGTTTGCAACATGTTCATAACGTGTTTTTTAACGAAAATGAAGGCTTTGACGATGCAACGCGTAAACATTGAATATATAATTCAACATTTATTTCGGATACGCTGATATCACTTCCAAGTCAACAACATTAATATTCAGTAAATGGTTTAATTAGAATACCTTTAGTAACAGCTGATAAACATGGACTTTATCATAAGGTTCAAGTAGTCGCATAACAAAAGTTATCAAATTCAAGATTCATGATGGAATTTTTTATGATACAAACTACGAATGAAAAAACTCATAAGTGCAAAAATTTTGTTTTCACTTTACTGCAGTGTTTAAAGTAGCCTAATGACAATCAATAATTTTAATTTTAAAACAATAATAAAAATTTTAAAATAATTCTAACCCAACAAATGATACTAAAAATATGAACAAGAGGGGCCGGAGACGCAGCTTATCACTAAGTGCAGCCAGGCTCTGCAGTTCACATCAATCACGTCCTCGGAGCGCGAGACAGAAATGCAAATTGTCTGGAGTTCGATAAAACGTTCCATTCATCAGAAACAACGTGCCAGTGTGACCTTGCATATAAATAACGCCATAGCTCGCTCATCCAGTTACAGAGCAAACAAAGGAAAGGTTTTAGCTACACAAAATGAACGCTCGACTGAAGAACTGAGATTGGCAAGGCTGCCTTCAGATACAATAGCTAAAGTTAATTTAATTGTATAGGAAATCATTCATTCATAGGAAAATTATTCGCGTACAATAAAAACGTTAGTTTTGATCATTATTCCGGGAGGCAAAATTTTTGTTTCTACGTGTATAGAACGGAAGGTGTTATGAATATAATTTAAGGCGAACTAAATTTTGATCAGCGACTTCGGGACATGACAGAGTTTGGGAAAAATGAAGAGTAAAGCTATCACAGCCATACTCTATCAGCTGCTAACGAAAGAAACACGAAGATTGAGAACACTTCGCACGGCAGTGGGATTGAAACTGATCTCAGAACAGTGTATTTGAAGGGGGCTTCAGATTAGCTGCTGGATTTATGGATGTCAGCAAAAGCCTGGTTTGAGATTCCAGCTATTACAACAAATGAAATGAGAATATATATGGTGTAAATTCCCTATGCATTTAATTAACATGAATTTTTATCACGAAGGCAGAACATTATTCATTTTCATCAGTTGAAAATTAGTTACTTTTCAAATCTAAATTGAGCGACTTATGACAGAAATGTTACATCTCAAGTAATCATTTGAGCAGAAAATATACTTTTAAGAATGCACGGGAGCTGAAATTTCATTCCAAATTTGTATAATAACGAATGAATGCATTTCCATACATAATAAATAGAAATTTGAAAGCAAAGAATAGTCCACAAAAATTCATATTTTTATATGAAACGTTTAGGAGTCCAGCTCCATCGTCAGTTCGTAGAATCTAGAATTTACATAAAAAGTCACAAGTTAATACAATTGAAAGCACAGAACACAATTAAAACCTAAATTTACAAGTAATAGGGCATAAAAAACCTATCTATTCACAATTTCAAGGGGATAGGAGCCAACAGCTGAATATAAACTGGGCCTAAGTTTAAAAATGTACATTTTTAAACTGGGCTGAATATAAACTGGGCTTAAGTTTAAAAATGTACATTTTAAACTGGGCTGAATATAAACTGGGCTTAAGTTTAAAAATGTACATTTTAAACTTAGGCCCAGTTTATATTCAGCTGTTAGCTCCTATCCCCTTGAAATTGTGAATAGATAGGTTTTTTATGCCCTATTACTTGTAAATTTAGGTTTTTATTGTGTTCTGTGCTTTCAATTGTATTAACTTGTGACTTTCTATGTAAATTCTAGATTCTACGAACTGACGGCGGAGCTGGACTCCGAAACGTTTTCTATAAAGATATAAATTTTTGTGGACTATTTCTTTGATTTTAAATTTTTAGTTAACTTGCGGTTTAAGCAAATAAGTGACATCAATATTCCATAATAAATAGGTATAATTTTTATCAATAGTCGTACCATGCATTACAGTGGAGCTGTGCGCAACGAAAAAACCGAGTTCGAAAAAATCGTTACAAGAAATTTTGTTCTAAGTCATGATTTGAAAACTTCTGGAATGATTGAATGAAAACGAGAGACTAGACGATAAAAAAGGGTGAAATTATTTAAAATATAGAATTGTACATGATTTACAACTATAATAATAAACCAGTCTCGAAATGTATTTTAAAAAGTGCCTGTGCAGTGCCGAGGGGGCTTGATTAAAAGATCAAAGTTGCAGTCAAAAAATTGGTCTTTGTTTAGAAGAGAAATAAAACATTTGATAATAATTAGCCGTGTTTCCTGAGCAATACAAATTGTTTTATAGTAAAGTTGATTGATTAATGGAAGAGTTCGTCGAGTTTCAGACAAATAGTTTCCTCGCTCAATTAAGAAGCACGGAACACTTCAGTTGCATCGAAGAATTTCATTGAACAAGAGCGTCTTTGATTAATTATTTTAAATCTTACAGTGTTCATGGAGGTATGAATGCATGTGTTGGTTGCTGTTGACGATGTAGAATAGTAAAAACAATGCGAAAATCCAACTTGTTGTTGATGTATGCCAGCGCTAATGAAATAAAACTTCTTTTCTAAGATCTGAAGGCGCTCGAAAACGGTTTCATGAACTTGGCAATAAAGCAAGCTTTTTTAGTAATATGTACAGTTTGCTTTCAGGAAACCGGGGCTTACATTCAGTTCGTGGAACTGTTGCATGATGTGTAGGTTATACGTTACAATAACCTTTTTTTTAAGCGAGAAAAAGTGTTTTGTTTGAACCGTGGTTCGTGTCGTGACATGAGATCTCAGTAAATTTTTATAGGATTATTGAAACTGCGGCTCATGTTAAGAGGTTTCAGTGAATCGTTTTCTACGCAAACGAAACGGGTAAACCTACAATAGTGCCTACTGTGCGTCGCGAAATCATTCTGAAAAACATACGTAAGCCAAATCTATAACAGGTTAAAAAAAAACTAACATAATGTTATTAATTGATGAATTTACACTTAATGAGATTTGAATGTTTTCTATGGTGCAGAAAATCGACTTTCGTAATTAAATATTTCTTTCTACTGAAAATTTGCAGAAAACACTTTTGTGAAGCTATGAAATTCGGTTGACTCACAACTTCGTTATTGATTGACAACCACCAGCAAAAAATCCAAAACAAATAATCACAACATTCCTTACTTAGTCGAAGATATTCTTCCACTAAAAAATATATTTTGTTTTCAGAATTAGTTAACGTAACGCGATTGAAGTGGAAGAAAATTTCAAAAGATTATAGCGGAACTGGCAGTCCAAATGACGATTGAAATGACAATTTGAAATTTTTCAAGCAGCGGACTGACAATAGAGAGAGGAAGGTCTTCTGGAGCAAACAAGGAAAGAAGCTCTTTTGGATCAACTTCAAAAATGCGCATAAATATTTCAGGATTACAATCATTCAAATTTGAAATGCATGGGGGAATTTGCAGAATTAAACTAATTTTTCAATAATCACCCACGTACGTTCACTGTGTCATTTAATTGCCACAGATAAATATTGTCTAGTGGTCATTCCAGGAGGTGTAGGATGCATTTGCATGCACCGGTTTAACCCTAAGTCATTTTAATTAATATTGAATATTCGATGCCGGCTGTAAGCAGTTTTATTTTTGTCGGTTGAATTAAAGTTCTAGTAATTCTATTACAGCAGTTTGGACCTTAAATCCTTTTAATTAATATTGAATATTCATAATCTTAAGTCATTTTAAATAATATTGAATATTCGATGCCGGCTGTAAGCAGTTTTATTTTTGTCGGTTGAATTAAAGTTCTAGTAATTCTATTACAGCAGTTTGGACCTTAAATCCTTATAATTAATATTGAATATTCATAATCTTAAGTCATTTTAAGTAATATTGAATATTCGATGCCGGCTGTAAGCAGTTTTATTTTTGTCAGTTGAATTAAAGTTCTAGTAATTCTATTACAGCAGTTTGGATGTACATGATAGGAAGTATTGGTCGATCCGATAAGCAGTTAGTGCAGGAGGGTTTAATGGGAGCTCCAGCTCGCCGCTAATGGATTGCGCTGCTAGTCTGCTTAGCGCTGCACGTGTCTTATTATCGACGCTTCAGGTAATTGCATAAAAGCTTCACATGTACAAAAAACATCAAGAACTTCAAAAGTCATCAAGATTTTTGAAAATCATCAAAAATCCTCAGTCGTCAAGAGCTTATCTAATTCTTTGATAGAGTCTTATTACTCGTTCAAATTTTTGTTGATGCATAACTGCATCTATAAACTTGAGTGAATCACCAAAAGCAACAGTAATTATCAGGATTCTACATTAAGTGGATTTTCAACTAAACGAAATTAACCTGAAATAAAACTGAAAATTACAATTTTCATGTTATTTTGTTCCTATTAATGTGACACAAGAGATTATGACACGCACAACGCTAACTGAGGCAGCCTCCCTATACGGAGCATCATAACTCGAACATTTATGATGGCCGAGTTGCAAAATAAAAAATTAACCATTTTAATGCAAGAATAGAAATTCATATTGGATTATCAGTCAAGACACAAGCTGGAGTATGTAAAATTATAACGGAAAAAATAACAATGTGTGAAGTTGAACTAGACAATTGTCAGTCTAAATAAATGTATCAGTTAAGAGTTGTACACTCAAATGTAGGTAAACATTTCTCGGGGGACTTGTGCAAGGAAAAGAGCCGTTGCACGGGAAATGATCACGTTAAAGTTTGATTAAAGGCTGAATTGTTGCATGAGTTCTCGATCCCATTAATTAAGAGCGCAGACAAATGCCTGGTATTGTTACAACAGTTCAGGATTTTACACGCGCGGATGTGGTGTTTTTTGAACTCTTCTTTGTGTTAACATCAGAGTTAGAAGGCTGCTTATATATACGCCTCTTTGTTAGCATCGGTCAGTTTTACCTCGGGAACTTCGTCTTCCTTCAACATTTGATTTAAATTAAATTAATTATTAATTTAAACTTTTGCACGCACGATTTTCGACGGAATAAATGTAACATTGTGACTCAAATTGTTTAGTTCGCACCCCCCCCCACTTGACCGCCGCGGGTATTTCAAGTTACTAACCGCAAGTTCAAGTTAACAGTTACTTCAATAAATTCAAGGTAAATTACATACGTTGCTTATTGTCAGGTAGGGTTAAATGATATCAAATAAAGGATAAGAGTAAACTGGCTCTTGATGTAGGATGGCGAGAAGGATTAACTACAAGTTTCAAGTTAACAGTTACTTCAATAAATTCAAGGTAAATTACATACGTTGCTTATTGTCAGGTAGGGTTAAATGATATCAAATAAAGGATACGAGTAAACTGGCTCTTGATGTAGGATGGCGAGAAGGATGCCATATCCTCCGGGCTGCCTTCTAAGTACACGATGTTGACGATGTCGTTACCGATGTGTCTTTTACGCTCAACCTGCAATGATAAACACGGTTCTTACTGTAAATGTTCAATATTTAAATGGCTGGTTGAACATTATTGGGTTGCAGGCAACCTATGATACGAGAAAATTGATTAAACCTATGATTAATAAATACGAGAAAATCGATTGATTTAGTGCTTATTCACGTGAACATGTAAACAAAACAGGTTCATCAGAGACAGGCGAACAGGTAACAGAAACAGGGCAAGAGGCGAACAGAAAAATAAACGGGCCAAGAAATGAACAGCAACTGAAATAGGGTGACAAGCGAACAAAAAAAGTAACAGGGCAAAAATTTAACAGCAACAGAAAAATCGCTGGAAATGAACACAAAGTCTCTGGAAATGAACAGTTACAGGGTGAGCATCAACAGAACTAGGGCAAGAGGTGAACAAAAACAGAAATAGAGCAACCGGTGAACATCAACAGAACCAAGGCAAGAGGTGAACAAAAACAGAAATAGAGCAAGAGGTGAACAAAAACAGAAACAGAGCAACCGGTGAACATCAACAGAACCGTGGCAAGTGGTGAACAGAAACAGCAAGAGCTACGAATAAACAGAAAAGTAAACCTCGCAGCAAGCGATCAGCAATAAACAGTGGCACACAAGACAGCTCGAACAAGACATTAGCCAGAAAACTAGTGGCAGTGAAAATAAGAAGAAAAACCACAACTGCCCTGCCTACACAACAACTTATAACCCCACAACTGCCCTGCCTACACAACAACTTATAACACAACTTATAACACCACAACTGCCCTGCCTACACAACAACTTATAACCCCACAACTGCCCTGCCTACACAACAACTTATAACAACACAACTGCCCTACCTACACAAGAACTTTTAATCCTATAATTGCCCCAGGCTACACAACAATTATTCAACCCTACAATCGAGACAGCATTCAGATGCCATGAGCCTCAAGGCAAGGAGCTAAAAAAATGTCCCTAGAAATTCAGAGAAGTGAGACTTGGTTCAAATAGTGACGCTTTTTAGCGTTAGATTGGGTCACATTGGTTCATTTTAAACTGACAAAACGGCGCTTAAGTGCAATATATGCTCCCTGCTCATGATGTAGGTAAGAAAGTAGGTAACAAAATGTACAATGCTGCCATATTATTTTCAGGGTGTAGAAACTTGAAATCCCATAGGACTTCTGACAATCAGAGACACGCTTGTTAGAAGTCACATTTTTGTTGGTTAAAACGATTGAGTTACGCGATACTGCAGCGCCCGAGAATTAAAACTTAAACAGTAACATCAACGGCCTCAAACGCAATAAGAACGAGTCTATTTACATCTGAAATTTTACTTCGACAAAAACCCCGTCAGGTTCACTGAGTGACATTTTTTAGCGAAGCAATAAGTCGCCTATCTTCTAAAAGCTAACTTGTTTACCAACAGAAACATTCCTGCGACTAATAACCAAGAGGAGAGGAAACTGCCAGCGGCATTCCAAAGAACCAATATGTCGACAGAGAGAGCCAAATTAAAACGAGACCTTTGGTCTTAACTAATAAGTTACAATGAGAAACACGACCTCAATGGTTAATGAGACTCAGCACAGCATTGGTGGCATAGCCGATGGGACTGAGGCAGCTGTCCCGGCAATTCGCTGGTCCTTATTGAAAATAATTGTCAGTTTTGGTGTGGCCAATAATGGCTTGCTATTGCCCGCTTGTAATTTAACTGTTATTTCCAATAGGGAGCGAATTAATGCGTACGTGTCACGTAAAACATGAATACGTATTTATTCGATGGTCGATTTGACCGGCAAAATTATTCGATGGCGGAAATGATAAGCAAAATTTATGGGTAGTAGATGCGAATAAAAACATTTATTAGATTTATTTATTTTACACTCCAACGGCCAGGGAAAAAAGATCAGATGACACACTGATGTCTGCACTCAGTTTAAATTAATTTGTATTTTAATAAATAGGTACGAATGGGCTTCCTGCTGATGCTACGTATTTAATAAATTAAAGGCATGTTAGGATTTTGATTCAGTTTGAAACAAAAAGTTTCTACGTCAGTGGAGGTAAAGGCACACATTAATTAGGCACAATTTGTGTCAGTTAGGACAATTGATTTCCTTTTTACAACTTTTTCTTGCTTCACTTGCAGGATAATATCCCTTTCAATGCTCAAACTTGCATCATTTGTGGGTGAAAAATCCAACGCAACGCATTGAATTCCAACGCAATAAAATTTAATAAACGTATTAAAGCATCATTTTTGATCGCGTTCTACCTATGGCATCACCTTCGTGCATCAGTTTTGGGTGCTACATCCCTTCAAAGCCTTTCTCATCAGTTGAGTGGTTCAGTTTGAAAGTCTATGAGGCTTGGAGGAAGAAACTAATGAGAGGCGAGTAACATGAGGGGGGACTGCATAATTTTCCACAACGCCACCGCAGACAAGGATGGATGAAACCCGCGGATGAGAATTAAGGAAATGATACGGGAGATTAGGGGCGGCGAGCCTGCCTGTAGCGCAGCCTCGCCCGTTATAAGCGATCTCCAGCCTGGGGGAGATTTAAAACCTACAAGCTAAACACAAGCTCTCATTCCCGCGGTAAATTTATGCAAAAAACGATAGCAGGTGTGAAAAATTGTTCACGTGGAGGCAAGGAACTTAGCCCTCATATGTCAAGAATCAAATTGGTAAAAGAGGTGTTATTTTGAAAATATTGGAGGTCATGTAATATTTTTCGATAACATTTTACATAAATTTAGTTTATCGATATGAAAAAGATATGTAGAAGTGTCAGATAAACAGAAAGTTGAAATAGGACTCAGGATATCCATCCGTTCATCTCAGCTCGAAAATATTGCAGGGAAAAAATCTAAAATGATTTTCCAAACCAAACCCCATCAGCAAACATAACATGACAAAAATTGTTTGACAAGCGGCAGTTCTTTTCCTGGGCCTCTAGACCCATGCGAGCTCACATCTGTCGCTGACGTCCTATATAACAGTTCATCTACGAATATAAATCGACAACACGCATTAGATTCTGCCACTGGGAGATTCCTGGAGGCTGGAACTCCAGGAAGTATGCCTCGATGTGGGCTTTCATCTCACGGAAATGGCATCCATGCTTCTGTCTGTCGAGGAAGGGTCGCTACTCTAAAGGAAATATTGCTGTCTTTCACAAGTTCTCGTATCGAAAGAAGAGAGGAAGCAAAACTTTTGTGCATATTTGCTTCGGCCGCCAAAAAATGAGGAGATTGCAGGCATTGACGAATGGAACTAAGTTAGTGATGTCGATCGAATCATGGCGTTGAGTCGGTTTATCAAGTACGAATAGAGAACACATGATTATATAGAAAGTTGGATTATGAGTTACGCCTGGACTATAGCTTTGACGTGCTTAGCACTCATTTAACATGTGAAGATCATAAGACGAATATATAGGATTAAAGAGCAACGTTAGATTAAAATTACAGAGATATGACATAATATTTAAGATTGAACACTATACCAAATAACTGCCGTAGACTACATTACACGCGCGTTGCATTCAATTAATAGTTACTTAGCAACCGACGTATTCCAAGAATCCTACACCTACATTTAAATTGATATTTACTATTCGTGCGATGTAACGATTCATAAAACTAGCTACCAGACTGAATTTTTTCCATATTTCAATATTTTTGCATTTATATAATCGAGTAAACGTTTTTGACTGTCCCACCAGACTGAAAACGACAGCCAATGCATTTACATAGTCGAGTAAATTTTGTTGACTGTCTACCTACACACGATTTAAATATTCGAGTAAACGTTTTTGCCTGCATGTCTACCTACACACGACGGAATAATTGAAGGGTCCTCACGCTTTGCTGATCCTCAAGGATTTTCGAGAGTGCAGGACACGTTGCAGGATTTCATTCACCAATTAAGAGGAGCCCAGCGAGGCCGGCCGATGTAAAGTCAGACGCTGTGCACACACGAATAAAGAGTAACGTTCAATTCAAATAGAGAAGACAGATTTGCGTTTTTTGCTGCATCAAAAAGTTCTGTATCTCTTTAGCATCGGTGCAAACGGACGACCAATATGGAAATTTACGTTTTTTTAGACCAAATTTACGATTTTGCAATGCATCAAAATACTGATCTCTTTAGCATCGGTGCAAACGGACAACCAATATGGAAATGTACGTTTTTTTAGACCAAATTTACGTTTTTTTCGAAGCATCAAAATTCTGATTAACCCTCCATCATCGATGAAGAAAGACGTCCTCTTATTCCAATAAGGAAAAAGAAGCACCGAGATCACCGATTGATCAGAGTAAATAGGAAACAAAAGGAAAATAAATACAGTCAGAATATATTAGCGACATTACTCAGTAGACAGACGGACAGACGGACATGGCAAGCACAATACTGCATTTTTTCCATAAATGAGAAAATGCGCTAAAAATAATAACTCTGCCATTGAAACATGTAAAGAATTTGAATTGTCTATTAATAAATAAATAAACAGTCTTTGATCCGCCCGCGTGCTTTAAATTGCAAAGAAGTTGACTCACACCGCGGTTATCGTTGATATGCTCCTGGTAGAGATCCCTGATGAGCATATCAAGCGTGCGCTCCCTCTTCTGAGAGAAGATGGGGGTGTTGAGGGTAGCCTTCTCTCCGTTGATCACTGAAATTACATCAATTTACATGGGAATTTATCGACGAAATTAGGTAATTGGAGCATAATTAAGTATTGACAAAGACGAGAGACTAATTTTAAACAAAACTTTTTTCTGATTTGCCTCATTTCTGACACATGAGTGATTAACTGAAACCTGGAACGCATTCTTAGGTTAAGAATATAAAAAATATAACTCATTACTCACTGCAGTGAGTGATAGAGAGCGCATTTTCTCGTCGATGAAAACGTGAAGTTACGGACGGACAGAC